TATCAGGATTAGTGACTGAAGACACTAGTCGGACTGAAAATCAGTGATGGTGCTACACTTATGTAGTGTGACAATGAACATCTAAGTATGATTAAGTCTATTCTTGATGGTTGAAAGATTTTAGAAATTCATGAAGAAATATCAAAATGAGTTAACCTAGAAAGAAGACAATATGTTGAGGATGTCCCTTGCTATGGAGATCACGTTGTATGAACTCTTTCTTGCATTGATCTTGTCATACTTGCTCCTAAAGAACTTACTACTTTGGCTAACTTTCTGTTTCTCATGGAGTGTACAAATAGCACAAGGCTGAAGTACGTATGAAGTGCATGTCCCAGCCTTTCATGTTTTTAATGCTTTCTAACTCAAAACTCAAAAGGTAATCTATTTCCATGGAGGCAAGAATGATCTGGAATGATGTTACGTTGAAATGAAAAATCTTTACTATATTAGTAAACATTCTTGTAATTGTTGATTATTGGTTGTGTAATGTTTAGGAGATATTACCTAGATTTAGAGCTTGAGTAGGCCGTTATGATATTGTCATCATTTTTGTAGTTTTCTAATTTGATTGTGATTGGTGGCTTTATAATGCTATCAATATAGGGATTATATAGGTTATGTTGGACTTCTTATTTTCTGATCTAGTATTCCTTTAAAAGTTTGTTTTACCTTTCTGGTCTCCTCTCTCTTTGCTTGACTTTCTCCTTGGATTTTTATCCTCTTTATTCTTGTTACTTAAGTCTTTTCCTACCCTAGCTAGCATCACTAATATATTGGAATCCATTCCCTGCTAGTGCTTTGGGGCAATTTGTATGGTCCAATTTGGGGGCTTGGAAGTTTGTTAAGAAGCCTTTGAAGAAGGGAGGCGTCGGCTTGAGGTCCCTGATCACTTTTAACCTTCTCTTATTGTGGAAGTGGCTTAGGAGGTTCATGAGGAATATGCCACACTTAGTGGATGGTTCTTAAAGCTAAGTATGGTGTTGGGAAGAATGGGTGGGTTCCCAAATGGTGTGGGGATCCACTTGCCTTAGGTGAAATTTTACAAAGATAGTTGATGTGGCCAATCTCTCTTGTTTGACCGAATATCATGCATTCTCAATATTGCAAGGAACAAAGAGGTGAAAGTTCCTCCAAGAGTATGGGAAGTTGGCTCTATTCAGAATCTAAATGACTGGGGATGATAGCTTTGCCAGTCTTCTCTTTTGTCCTGAATGCGCCGCTGTCTCCTGATGATGTTGACTGCATGATATAATCTCCGACAGGATTGGCATTCTCTCTATGAAGTTGTGCTTTAGCCATATCTGAAATGTCGACAATGAGCCCGACAAATTTTCTTTGAAACTACTTTTATTTCAAAAAAAAAAAATCCTTGGAAACAAATTTTGAATAAAAAAGCTACTAAAAGATTTGCTTCCTTTTTTCTTTTTGGGAGGCAGCTAGGTAAAATTCTTATAATAGATAACTTGAGGAAAAAAGGTGCAGTTTTGGTGGATGTGTGCCATTTGTGTCAACGGGCAGTGACTGATCATCTATTGCTTCTGTACCTCCTGGGACATCTCTCTTGGAACTTTGCACTTGATCTTCCTTGTATCGAGGATTGGAAGTTTTGTGACTTATGATTTTTGGGCTTGGCATGGCATCGTGGTGGAGAGGCACAAGAAGAAATTGATGCCTTGTCTGTCCTCTGGGTTGTCTGGAACTAAAGGGACTGAAGAGATTTTGAGGGGAAGTTTTCTTTTGGCAACATTAGAGATCATTGGCTTCATCATTCCCTTGGATTTTTTTGATAAAAAGGGCATCCTCTCCCTTGAGGAAGATCTTGGGACAGGATTGATATTTTGACTTATTTGCAACTATCTTTTTAATTTATTGATCTTTCTCTCAGAAAAGCTTTCGCAGTTTTCTTTCTATTCTTATTTTGTGTTGGCTTCTTACTTCTTTTCTTTATAAAAAAAAGATTTTGTTTGACTTCTGCTATGCTATGCTTGATATGGCATGACAGTTATGCTTGAGAGGTGGTAAAGTATTTTACCTTGTAACCTTTTCTATTTTTTTGATGGTATGGAAGGAGAGATTAAAGGACTATGAGTGAGAGGTTGGAAATTATTCAAGGATAACCAGCTTCGTGCTTGGAACCACGAAAATCTGTGGACTTCTAATGCAGTTTTGTATTATAACTATGTAATTTGTTATTTGAGGTAGCAACTCCCTGGGGCCCTCCTTTTACTGAATTTTTCTTCACTGCAAAGAAACATTTGATGAAATTGGTTGTTTGTAAATGCACCAATCAAGTGAATTAATCTACTGGTAGGCACTCCCTTTGATTTGCTTAAGTTTTCTTAATAAGTTTTTTGTTTGTACTCAAAATTTGAACCTTCTCTGTGGATGACTCTACCTCTGAAGTTTCTCTATATTTGCAAGTTAGACTCTTTTAGTTTTAAGAATCTAGAATGCAAGAAGATTATATTTGAACCCTAGCAGGTCAAATACTGAAGGCATTGATGATGACCAACCAAGGGTGGAAAAGCTGTCATTAAAGAAAAAGGGAATTGGCTCAGAAGCAAGAGCCGAACGCGTGGCAAATGCAGATACAGATTTACAGCTTTTTAGTGAAACTGAACGAAGGAGGTTATTGCGAAAGCAAAAGAAGCGCAGACTTCAAGGACGTGAAGATGAAGTAAGTTACTCATAAAATTGTGTGTGTTAACCTTGTTATTCCTTTTCTTTCTCCATTTTACTTATCTTCCTCCTTCGATGATAACATGTGTGATTTTTCATTTTGTGGTTTACCTAGATGGCAAGTAAATTTGAAACATAAATAGATTAATGAGTGCAAGTAAATTGTGGACTTCCAAAAGCATTCACATAAGACTTCTATGTTTCCTTCCCCCTTCCTTTTAGCCTTACAACAACATACCAAGCCATCTGCAATCTATCTTTTTTGGAGGAAGAAATTAGACCTTATCTTTTCCTTCGTTACATGCAAGCTGAAATATAGGAGTTCTCTTTGAATCTTGCATTGTTTGCTAAGAACATGGAAGGAAAAAGATACAGCTAAATTAGCTATGAGTTTTTGGCATCTCACGAGTAAGAATTAATTCCTTGTAATATTTTGATTTGTGGTTGTGTTTGCTCACTACACTGTTGAGAACATCCTCTGCCAGGCATCTGCCTCTAAATTCTGGCAAAAGCATCATTCTTTTTCCACTCATGTCCTGTTTGCTCAGTTCCAAGAATCTTTCTCTACTGTCCTAACTAGGGACAAAGTCAAAATATGATCTTTACCCTTGTATCGGCTGCTCCAGTAGTTATGTGCCTCATGTAGAAGTCGTATATGCCTCTGTCTCCCATGTGAGCATAGCTCACAATTCAGATTTCTAAGATTATTATTCTAGCATTTTGAGAGTTCATTTGTAGGTATACGAACAATGTCTCATTTTTGTTTCTTGTTTAATGATCCAATTTTTGTTTCAAGCTTTCTTTTTTTTTATACATTCTATATCATGGTTTCATTCTTTAATCTTTTTTCAAGTTTCTACTGTGATATGCTGCAGACGGACATTGTTCCTGTTATTCTAGGACATTTTTTGTTATACGATCTTGATGTATCAAAATATGGTAGGGAGACCATAAAGTGTCAAGTCAAGCATAATGATAAGAATGAAAATCCTTAAGCCTTCAAAACCATTGAGTCGTGGTCCAAAAACACATCATCCTCATTCTTTTATCATCTTTTATTTATTTGCACCTGGTGCTGATGCTATTCATCTTTTCTGTGGCCTTTTTTTTTTAATCATATGATTATTTTAGATCTTAGCAAAACTCGAGAGGTTTAAGCAATCCTTTTCTGGGAAACCAGTTTCATCAAATAGCGAATCTGATGGCAACAACGAAGATTCATTGGACTGGAAAGCAGTTAAATTGAAGTTTGCTCCTGAGCGTGGCAGGGTAATCTTTAGTCTAATATCAATTTCTTCATCTCAGTATTTGGAAAGCTCACATGAGTACATGATTTTATTTATTATATTTGTTGTGATATTTTGACAGCATGCCCGTCATGTGGCGTTGTCACGCAGCATGGCAGAAACATTAGATATTTGACATAGATGGTGCTTATTTGAGTTTTCCAATATTATGTAAAAGTTATTTGAATCTCCCATGCAGGACCAAATGTCTCGCAAGGATGACGCGAATGACTATGTTGTGCATGATCCTCTTTTAGAAAAGGGGAAAGAGAAATTCAATCGTATGCAAGCCAGACAGAAGCGAAGAGAACGAGAATGGGCTGGGAAATCTCTTACTTGAACCCCCCACTGCCATTATTTGCATGAGGTTTGTGAATATTATTTGTGGGGATGAAGCTGATGAGTTTGTTCAAATGCTGTTTGACAGAGTTAATTCAATCATGAGGACCAAATAGTGCAAAACATGTGTCTGATAGACATGTTTGTTCATTTTGCGTGGAAAAAGCTTTATCCTGGAATGGGATGCAATCCAGTTATAGACATGGATCTCACTGTTCTCGCAGGTCCTTTCTGTTTTGTTATAAGTTAGCCGTGGTACTCATATGTTACATGTCTGATATGTTGACTGGGTCAAGAGTTAAAGAACATTGAAGTCGTCAAAGTTGGACCCTCTTCGTGGGACACAAGTCAGAAAACGTTATTCATGGAAAAAAAAACTTTGGTTTGGCCAACCCCAGAAAGAGAAGTTCCAATGTTTGATCTCATTAGACCACAGAAATGCCGTTCATTTACTAGACTCTAAGAATCAATAACATGATGTTTTCATGGTTATCTTGATATGACTCGCGCATGAACAAATCATTGAAATGGGTATGATTTTATGTTGTTCGTAGTTTTGATTCTTGAGAGCTTTGTTGGTTTAAATCCAAAACTTGTGCAGAAGGTTCCGATATAGAATATTTGTTTTTCATTCAGTTGGGAATCATCATGGCTTTATACAAAGTTGCTGGGCAAAATATCATGATTTTGTGCTTTCTTACCTGATAATTTTTACAGGCAAACGTCAAAAGGCAGTTGATAATGTTGAATCTTGTTACCTTCCAAAGGTAAACGGTAATGATTTCACTGGGACTTTATTGAACACATATCACAATTTGGATATCCCCCATCGTACATACATACATACATACATACATACATACATATATGTGCTTTCTGTAATTTTTCCATAAGACTTCTTTTATACACAGTCACACATATATATATATATATATGTGACTTATAAAAATAAGAAAAATGCATTCTTAATTGAATTGTATGAAGCATGCTTAGTATATGCACATTCTTGTTTTTTTCTCAAATATATTTATACACACTAAATAAATTATTATTATTATTATTATTATTAAGATTCATTTCACACACTCCCTGATAGATGTCGGCATCAAGAACGAACTACTTTTTGTTCTGATAAGATTTGCCAATTATTGATTGACAAACTTTTTATAATAAATTATTACTACACACACAACCAAATCAATAAGTTGATGAAATTAATTTCCCAAAATTCCTATATTGATTAATTAAATTAATGTTTTACAGATACCATAATAAAAGATTATAGTTTATATTTTAATATTGGAGATTCAAATTTAATTATTTGTTTTATACAAATTTATTATATATTACATTGTATAAAAAAATAAAAATAAAAATAAAAAAAAAACTCAATAGTCTATGAGGTCACCGTCCTACACCTAACGCCACTACCACGAATTAGAATTTTATAAAACGTCGCCGCTTTCACACCCGAACATGCCTTTTTTCTTTTAACGGCTTTCAATGTTTGACCTTTTATTTTTATTTTAAATTAATAATTAATTAAGCTGATTAATTGTGAGTCACATGAACCAGTTCACGAGTTTTTTTTTCTTTCTTTCTTTTCATTAAATAATAAAAAATCATAATATATATGTATAGGATAAAATAATAATTTAATTTCTGTATTTTTAAAGAAATTTTAATTTAATTTAGTGTAATATTTGTCAAATTTATTAACACAGTAATTAAAGATTACGCGGACAGCTATGGTAATTTAAATTTTTTTCTAATGGGTTCAAATAAAAAATTAAATGATTAATCTTAATTTCTCTGAAACCTGAAAATGAATCCCGGAGACCGCCTCCTTCTGCTTCATCTTCTTCGAAGCAAGCTAGCACCGGCGAGAAGGAACCATGGTTTCAAACAATGTTCTTTCAAACAAAATAAACCAGGACCTCGCCGCCAATCTCTTTCTATTCCATTAATTTTCAGGAAAAAAAAAAAAAGAATCTAAGCTGCCCATCCATCACCAGCTATTGCTTTCGATTTGGATGTATCTGCAGTTGGGTCAATCACATCTGTAGGAGTTCAGTGCCGCTGCATGTGGCAGTGCTTGCGGGTCAGCTACGGTCATCAGGCCGCCAGGTTGAGCTGCCAAGAAGGGGAGATGCGGGAGGAGGGAGAAGACCGTAGAGTCAACCACTGTTCACCAAAAATGATCCAAATATTTATTTTGTTTTATTTATATTATGTTTTCTTTAAAATTCAAAAATAATTAATTTATTTTTATTAAACTTATGCAGATAAAAAGAAATTTCTTATAATTTTTTTTTAAAAAAATTTCTTACTCTTAAATAAAGGTTATTTTTATAATTTTCGATTCAAAAAAATATTTAGTAATTTATTCATAATAAAACCAATTAAAAACAAAATTTGAAAAATGAGCAAATCATAAATTCTTTGTATCTATCTATATATATATATATATATACTTGGGTAGAGCAAGTCATATATACAAAACTCAATTTGTCAACTGCCGTGTTCACACGTTTACATTTTGTTCACACCACTCATCTTTCTATGTATATGAAAACCTCTTCTCCTTCTCCACACTCCAACTCCTCCTCCTCCTTCTCCTTCTCCTTCTCCTTCTCCTTCTCCTTCTCTCCCAAATGAAACGCCAAAAGAAAGATCCCCGCCATGGCGCCCAAGACTCGGATACCAAAACCAAACATTTGAAAGGTATCATCACTTCCTTGCTCCTTTTAGAAGACCAAGACAAGTGCGATAGAGACGAACAACACGCCGACTCATGGCAACGCGCTTCGCAAATCGATTCAACTCACACCAAACAAACCAAAACCATGCTTCAATACTACTCCAATCTCCACGACTACTACCACGAAATCGACGAATCTGACCGTATTACTCGAAAGAAATCGCGCTCCGCCGCCAACGCCGTCGCCGTCGCCGTCGCCGTCGCCGCGGTCTCCGAAACCGAAAAATCCGCGGCGAAACAAGTCGGGTCCGGGTCGGGCCAACACAGGAGGTTATGGGTCAAAGATAGGTCGAAAGCTTGGTGGGATGATTGTAACAGAGAGGATTATCCGGAAGAGGAATTCAAGAAGGCGTTTAGAATGAGTAGGTCTACTTTTGATATGATATGCGAGGAGTTGAATTCCGCCATTGCTAAGGAAGATACTGCGCTCCGTAACGCGATTCCTGTGCGGCAAAGAGTCGCTGTTTGCGTATGGAGGTTAGCTACTGGTGAGCCGCTGAGACTTGTTTCGAAGAGATTCGGGTTAGGAATTTCAACTTGTCATAAACTGGTTTTGGAGGTTTGTTCCGCCATTAAAACTGTGTTGATGCCAAAGTATCTACAATGGCCGGATGAGGATTCATTGAGGAAAATCAAAGAGAAATTCGAATCTATTTCGGGTATACCTAATGTCGTTGGTTCAATGTACACGACTCATATCCCCATTATAGCTCCAAAGATCAGTGTAGCAGCTTATTTCAACAAGAGACACACAGAGAGGAACCAGAAAACATCATATTCCATAACAGTTCAAGGTGTAGTTGACCCAAAAGGTGTACTTACAGATGTATGCATAGGGTGGCCTGGTTCGATGTCGGATGATCAAGTGCTGGAGAAGTCTGCTTTGTATCAGAGAGCTAATGGTGGTTTATTAAAGGGTGTTTGGATTGTAGGAAATAGTGGGTATCCTTTAATGGATTGGGTTCTGGTACCTTACACTCAGCAACATTTGACATGGACTCAACATGCTTTCAACGAGAAGATTAGTGAGATTCAGAGAGTGGGTAAAGATGCTTTTGCTAGATTAAAAGGAAGATGGTGTTGTTTGCAGAAGAGGACTGAGGTGAAGTTGCAGGATTTGCCTGTAGTTCTTGGGGCCTGCTGTGTGTTGCATAATATCTGTGAGCTTAGAAATGAAGCCATGGATTCTGATTTGAGGTTTGAGCTTGTTGACGATGAGATGATACCTGAATCGCCTCTGAGATCAACTAATTCCATGAAAGCTAGAGATGCAATTGCTCATAATCTCTTGCACCATGGTTTAGCTGGCACTGCTTTCCTCTGATTATTGTTTGACATTCTTTTCTTCTTCTTTTCGTATTTCATTCATCCTAATTTCTGTTCGAACAGATGATCCCCATACATATATACCTAATTACTTTACACAATATTTCTTGTTATAAACCTCAAACTATCAACCCAAGAAATAAATTAATTCAAACCATTTTCACATTATCTTTTCATTTTCTTTTTCTGGGTAATGGGATGTTGTTTTCTTCTTTAATTTGATTTAATTAACATAGAAATTTTTATTATCTAACTTAAAATCTTTTTTCACGACATTTAATTCTAATTTGAATAATTGAAAACGTATGTTTTAGGCAAGTAATCATTTTTGGACTAATTACAATCTGTGTTGCTCAAGTATCTTCGCCATAGTTAATTCAAATTTAACTAATTGGAAACTAATTTACCAGGCAACTAACGACTTATGATATGGGATCTTTTATTAATTGATTTTACTTTCCTTACTAATTGAGATTTATTTCTTCCATACTCGGTTATATATTTAAAGATAAAAACAATGATTTAATTCTTATATTATTTAATTTTTGGTTACCTTAATTTCTATATTTTTTAAAAAAATTTAATTTAATTTTTACTTACACCGCATTTATCTTTTGATGTACGATTTAGATTTTGAGAAGATTCACGATCGTTGTTCATCTCTAATTTAGTTTTAAAGATGAGAATCTCTTGATTTTTATCTTTTAATGATTAAACACTATATTGATGTTATTTTTTTAATCTCAACAAATTTTTCTTCTACAGAGCAAGCCTTTGTCTTATCACATTTACGATATATATATATATAACTTTATATGATTTGGCGATGAGTAGCACTTGTTCCTGGAACTTGGTTAATGTTGACAAAATGGAGTTCGCCATTTGAATGATCAAGTTGATTTCTTGATCAATTTGAATTTGTCATAAGACAAAGAGATGAGAGGAAGAGTGGTCCTATCATATGTGCCCAATTTTTAAGAAACACATTACACGACTTAAAATAAATAGACGTAAAATTCATTACAAAATAATCAATATATAATTTAACAAAAATTAGGTAACAAACTTTGAGATTTTATTTATTTATTTATTTATTTTTAACAAAAAAAAAAAAAAAAAATCATCTGATTCGAACTTGTGAAGTAATTACTTTATTGAAGGGCTAAACTATTCGATCTTGAATAAGGTTAATTTTCTTCTTGGAAGAGAAATTTCATTTGATCTTGAATAAGTTTAATGTGTAGTGATATATTTTTAAACCGAGATCCCGCTTTGTAGACAGTATTTTGGATCTTCGGAAATCTCTCATGACTTTTTTTGGAGCTCGTATTGAGCCACAAAGATGGGGAGCCCGGCCCAATAAATTTCTTTCGGGCTCCCGATCGATTCGCCCGCCGGGATTATAATATCATTTCGTCGCGCTAATGCAACAGGGTGTAAATTTGAGAGAGCGGCGGAGAAATCGATCAATGGAGCAATTCAAACAGCAGCCTCGCCTTCCGAAATTCGCGGTTCCGAGGCGGTACGATATCCAGCTGAAACCGGATCTTGCCACCTGCAGATTCGCCGCTTCTGTCGCTATCGACGTCGATGTCATTTCGAATACGCAATTTCTCGTTCTTAATGCTGCAGACCTCACAATCCACGACCATGCTGTCTCCTTTACTCCCCGAAACTCCTCCAAGGTATTCGCCCATTCTGAAATTCTGCTGAAATGATTAGCACCGCCTTTTGCATACTTAAGTGTCTTTGCTTTATTTTCACGCAAAGTATTTTGGGGTGAATGAAGGATGGTGGTATGAGGTTGTCTGTGGTAATATTTATTTACAGGTATTGGAACCGTTCAAAGTGCACTTGGTAGAGGAAGATGAGATTTTGGTGCTGGAATTCTCTGAGACTCTTCTCGTTGGCATGGGAGTTTTGGCTATTGAATTTGAGGGTTGTTTAAGTGACAAAATGAAGGGATTTTACAGAAGGTAATTGGTTTATTCTTTTTAATTTTCTTAAATAATTATTTCAGTATTTATTTTTAACATGTCAAATAAAGAAATTGGATAATAATAACTTGGTTTAGTTACTCAGAAAATGTATCGAGGAAGACCTGCTTTGAAAATATTGAATATGAAAATTTTATGTAAGCTTCAATCTTTGTTATTCAGTACTTATGAGCACAATGGGGAGAAAAAGAACATGGCTGTCACACAGTTTGAGCCGGCTGATGCAAGGCGATGTTTTCCATGCTGGGATGAACCTGCTTGCAAGGTTTTTCTAATTCTCTTTGGCTTTCTCTAGTTAATATTATTTAGATGTTTTATGATCTTGCTTCCCCTGTTTCCCTAGTTTATCATTGAAATCTTTATGCCCTGTTTTCGAGTTTCATTTATTTTTATTATTAGTATAATTTTTTTTTTGTTTTTTTTTGTACACATGGCATAACAGGCTACATTCAAGGTCACATTGGATGTGCCATCTGAATTGGTAGCTCTTTCTAACATGCCAGTCCTCGAAGAGAAAGAGTATGGGGATCTGAAGACAGTTTCATATGAAGAATCGCCAATTATGTCTACATATTTGGTGGCAATCGTTGTTGGTTTATTTGATTATGTAGAAGATTATACTTCAGACGGTAAAATCTTTTCCCATACCACACACAAGCATTTCTTATGTTAACAAATTTTTTTCTCTTGGTAGAGTTGATTACATGCATCTCGGTACAGGGATAAAAGTTCGGGTATATTGTCAAGTTGGGAAGGCCAATCAAGGGAAGTTTGCTTTGCACGTTGCTGTGAAGACACTTGAAGTATACAAGGAGTAGTTTTCTAACCTATCATTAAATGCATTCGTTATAGTACACTTGAAGACACTTACATTATTAAGTGGGGACATATTTATATTTTTAATTTGAAAGAAAAAAGATATGTCCCAACTTAATAATGTAAGTCAAAGAAAAGGATGGACCATGCTTAATTGTCATGCACCTAGTTCTACTTGTCGCATTGCCGAGTTAACTTTGCTAAGTTATGTAGATACTTTGCTGTTCCGTACTCTCTTCCCAAGTTGGATATGATTGCAATTCCTGATTTTGCTGCTGGGGCAATGGAGAATTATGGGTTAGTTACGTACCGAGAAACAGCTCTGCTATATGATGATCAGCATTCTGCAGCTGCAAACAAACAGAGGGTAATAGATAACATGAACTTCTCCCTTTCAAACAGCTTTTCAATTTTCATAATCAATATTCTCGAGAAAGAACCATTGTCTTATTGACACTTTTTAAATATTTGATAATTGAGGCCAATTTAATAATCTGTTGACCTATTTTTAGGTTGCAACTGTAGTAGCCCATGAACTGGCACACCAGTGGTTTGGAAATCTTGTGACAATGGAATGGTGGACACATTTATGGCTGAATGAGGGTTTTGCAACGTGGGTATGTGGCTTTAATTTTTATCATTCTAACAAATTTTGTTAATGCTTGTTTTAGTAATGCCTTATTGAAACATGATTTGCATACGGATTTCAGGTTAGCTACTTAGCAACTGATAAGTTGTTTCCAGAATGGAAAATTTGGACCCAATTTCTTGACGAATCCACTGAGGGTCTTCGACTAGATGGGCTGGAGGAATCCCACCCTATCGAGGTAGATGATGTTCACTATTTTCTTATAAAAATGGCTTGTTTATAAGTGTAGAAGAATAAAAATGAAATATTTTATTGTTAATATATTCAATGAATATTTTATAGTATTTATATGGATATTTATGAGTAAGATATTTATAGGGGAAATTCTAATGTACCACCACCTATTATGAGGTATCAGTACCTCACCATTTCTGGCTATCATATTTTTCACTCTTATTTAATATCATTTGGCTATTATTTGATACTCTCATTGGCTATTATTTTTTGTCATTTTTGGCTATTATTTGGTGCCACTTTCTATAATCAATTATCACCATTTGTTGGTTATGGTGGGGGTCCTTTTTTGCCGGTTTATTGGTGATTTGGTTGAAAAGGTACACTGTTATCTTCAGGATCAAGCTTCTTCGTTTTTAGTTTTTTGTATAAGATGTCCTTTTTAGTTTTTTGAATAAGATGTCCTTTTTAGTTTTTTGAATAAGATGTCCTTTTTAGCTTCTCTTTGGCCAAGGTGCATGGATGCTTTAAGGATTATCTCTGTTTGTTTCATAGAGATTGGATAGAATTCCTTGTTTAAGGGGTGCTGGATGATCTTCTTTCTTTCTATTGTTTTTCCTTTTTTTTTGGGAGGATATCTAGTTCTCTGCTGTTATGTTTATTTCCTTTTATTGTAATGTTATTCCTTTTTTCATATGAAAATATTTTTATATTATGACTGAATACCATCTTTATGATCAACATTTGGAAAATGAAGATTGATATACAAAAAATATAATAGACAATCATGATGGTCAAAGATGATAAGTAATGACTGCTAAAAATGGTATTAGATAGTGACAAAATATAGCCAAAGATGGTATCAAATTCTAGTTTAAAAAAAATGAGATATAGCGATACA